CTTCTTTTATTCGAACCATGATTCTTCAATAGACTTTGGCTGTGAACTTTTAAAACACACCCATCCGATATCAAAAATTTTCGTACGTTTGTCAACTGAACACACGCACAAGTACCAATGTAAAAGGGAATGTACAGGTGAATAATTATCTTGTATATCAAAAATATATAGTTATCTAATTACAAATAAGGGTATATATCACTAGCACGTTCTCGATAGTACATATACAGGGTGTTTCACAGGTAAAGGCACAGCCGTCTTCAACTAACAAGCCGTGAAGAAAGCAGTCTGGCAACATTGTCCGAACGACCGAACTTGCACCTGTCGGCCATTCAAAGTGTATTGTGTAGGAAGTAAACAAGGAGTTTATGGAAGGTTTTTTCAAAGTTTTCAATTATTAATTGGTGTAATATTGAGATCAAATAATTTTAAAAGTATTAGCAACAATCTAGGAATCGACTCGAGACTGAAAGTGTGTGGCAAGTGCATTCAAAATTGTGTTAAATTGGAGGTTATAGTGATGATGTGTACTAGTGCTGGTGTATTTGCAAGGGAATTTGTGTTGTTTTTTCAATTTACTCCTGGAAATAAGGAAGTTATTCATTATTCCTTATAAAATATGCCTTCTCATTGTTGTGTGCCAGGATGTAAGTCAAATTACAGCTCTGAAAAAAAGCTGGGAAAAGATGATGTCTCAGTTTTTTTATTCCCAAAAGGGGAAGAATTGCGAAGTAAGTGGATAACAGCAATACCTCGAAAAAACTGGACACCATCTCAACGTTCTACAGTATGTGCAATTCATTTTATTGAAAAAGATATCATCAGGAATGATACATGCCCTCTGCCAAATGGATCAATTGGAAAAAATTTATTACGAGCACCAAAGTTAGTCAAAACAGAGCAGTTCCTTCAGTTTTTCCAAATTTACCAAAATATTTTTCAAAACCAGCCAAACCATCAAGAACTGATCCAAATGAAAGACATCAGAAATATTTAGATATTCAAAGTAATATAATAGAACAGTTTGAAAAATCAGACCTCATCCACAACTATGAACAGTTAGTTAGGGAATATGTTGAGAAAGTTGAAATTGATACTTGGGAAATCCATAAGACTGATGATAAATTGTATTTTTATGAATTAGATTTGCAAGCAAATATTTTTTATCCCAATGATGTAAATACTTTACAAATTGTTTCTCAAGTTATAATATCCAATGAGATGGAGATCCAAGTTTTTCTTGGTGATAATAAACTTGGATTCAATGAATTGAAATGGATTCTTACTCATGATATTAAATTGAATAGATGGTCACAACTTGAAAATATTCTAGCTAGATTCAAAAACATCTCAGATCAAACTGACAAACACTCAGATATGAATGAAAAATTCCATATCTCCATAAGTTTTATTTTAACAAAATGTTCAAAATTACGGCTTCAGTTCATGACCAAGGGAATTATTCAACCACATTATTCCTCGTTATTCACTCTGTAAGTTCACTCTCCTGTATTTTTTACCTATTCGACAAAATAATCCGAGAAAATTACGTTAAACCAAACATTCAAAGCTCGCGCTCATATAAAAACCATTAAACCATTGTATTGCTAGGCTCGAATGGGACCGACGGTTTCCGTTCGTGCGACGTTGCCAGTATCTCAGCACGGCTTGTTAGTTGAAGACGGCTGTGGTAAAGGGGAATATTTCAATGGTAGATAGGGGTCACCGAGGTGGTTCTGAAAAGACCATATTTGGGAGGTCTTAGAGTCTTCATAACGGAGATACAGGACGATTTATCGATTTCGAATAATTATTCATTCGTCTATATGTATTGACATACCCAGTATATTTTTCTCAAATTTGGTAAGGAACTTATACTTGGGACGTTTAATTCATTCACCTATCGGGCGGAGTGAAAATCCAGGTTCGGCTTCAGGAAAAATTTACATTTATTCGAAATATTAAAATAACACACTGTATTTAATAATCAACACAGTACATCAAAAGAATTATGAAGAGGAGGAAAAACTGAATTGGGTTTGATGCTTTTTGTTTTCCCGCCACCAATTCTCATCGTAACAATCATAAACAGAAGTTGAAAGTATGTCAATTTGAAGAGTATTGAAATTATGAAACCAGTGTCAATTATAATTATTCGATATATTTTAGTCAAAAAATCGCTCGAAAGAACTTACTAAGTCTCACAGTTTTTATAAAGACTGTGAGACTTAGTAAGTTCTTTCGAACGATCATTTAACAAGAATATATCAAATAATCATAATTGAAAGTGGTTTCATAATTTTAATACTCTTGAAATTGACATACTTTTAGCTTTCTGTTTATGATTGTTACGATGAGAATTGGTGGCGGGAAAACAAAAAGCATCAAATCCAGTTCAGTTTTTCCTCCTCTTCACGATTCCTTTGATGAGCTCTGCCAATTATTACATACAGTGTGTTATTTCAATATTTCGAATGAATGTAAATTTTTCCTGAAGCCGAACCTGGATTTTCACTTCGCCCGATAGGTGAATGAATTCAACGTCCCAAGTATACGCTCCATACCAAATTTTAGGAAAATATACTGGGTAGTACAATACTTATAGACGAATGAATAATTATTCGAAATTTACTAATCACCCTGTATCTCCGTTATATAGACTCTAAGACCTATCAAATATGGTATTTTCAGAACCACCTTGGTGACCTCTATGTACCATTGAAATATTTCCCTTTATCTGTGAAACACCCTGTATAGTTAAAATAAAATATAATTTACTTTGCAACCTATATCTACCTACCTAATTCATGAAGGATCATTTTGATACTTGGAATGAAACATGACCTGGAGAAAATTTGATTTTTAAAATCATTTTTTAACGAAAAACGCATATAGAATAAATCATATTACCATGAAATTAAATAACGGGATAACTGTTCATGGAGACAACCTTCATTTTGCGATATCGTAAAAATTTCGACTGGATCTTTAATGCGACTGTTTCGAATTCAAAATCAGAATACTTATTCATTCCCAAAAAACCACAAATATTTTTTCTAATATCTAAGTGATGTATAATAGTGCCTTCATGAAAAATCACCCTGAAAATTGAATAAAACCAATAAACCTCGAATGAAATTTTCATCATCTCCGATTTAGTTTGAACAAGTAGAGAGTTTATGAAAATGTTTCAGGACTGATTTGAACAAGAATAAGTTTTTATTTTATTTTGAATATTTGATATCAACAATTCATTAGCAGTTCAATTTTGATATACAAGATCTCAGATAAATGTTTTCTAAATTTAAAATTTCACGCACAATAGGTAAGTGCCTTTTACCTTAAAAAAATAGATGTTTTTCAGTATTATCAATTACGCGTTGTGATTAAAAGAAAAGTGTTGAAGAGGTGAACTAAGTACTTTTCGAATATTATTTACTCTTATCTCATGTATATAAACTAGCTAAACATTTTTTTGTTTTTCAGATTTGTGTTTGGTGACAATTTTTGTTACTCACTGTTCATTTCAACTTGAAAAAATATTAATACACTTATCATCAATTTTTTTTTATTTTTTTCTCAAAATGATTGACAATTCATTTCTGTTGACAGGTTACGAAATGCCA